GATCAACATTGACCCAAACACGTGCGATAAATGGTACAACAAAATGCATGCCATGGCCTAAACACAACCATGAGATAGATATAAAATCGAGAACAACCTTCTATATCATCGATTGAAATTTTCCAATCAAAGTGCGGAAGTACTGTGGACACTTTGTGTACTATCTTCTGACAGAGCTAAGTCCTCGATGAAAATCATAACCAACATTCGCATCAGGGTTTTGGAAAACATATAGACGTATCTCACAACGCTATTACTGGCCAAACATGTATGAGTCCGTTTACCAGTACGTTCGGCAATGTGAACTATGCCACTGCATTAAACCAAGTAATGAGAGCACCAAAACACAACACGGCGAATATAGAGAACCAAAACGACCGGGTAGGCAATTATCGATTGACTTCGTCGGTAAGCTGCCCATGTCTAAAAATCGTAACCAATGGATCTTCGTAGCCATCGACTGTTACTCGCGATATGTCTGGCTGCCCCGAACTCATTATATCAGATAATGGTACTCAATTCATCAGTCAAACTTCCGCAAAGCTTTGCGCCGATTATAACATCAAACACATGAAAACGCCTTTGTACCATCCACAAGCCAATCTGGTCGAGGCGACAAACAAAAGCATTAAACTTGGATTACGTGCTCACATGGCTGGCCTTATTGAACATTCCTCCTGGGAAAACCATCTTTCTCGTGTTATTCATGATATTAACACTTCAGTGCATTCAGCCACGGGCTACACGCCATATTTCCTGCACACTGGTCGTGAATAAGTGAAAGATGGAAACGAGTATAAATTATTATTGGATGTAAATCCATACCATACACAGGATGTGGAACAGCGTAAAGTTCTGGCTGATGAAATTCGAGACAAACAGTTCGAACAATATCAACAAACCGCACAACGGGCATTGACCCGCAAAAGAGAACGCTATTTCGAGATAGGCTCGGAAGTTTACATTCCCAATCCTAAACAGTCCGCGGCCGGAGAGGGCTATGCACAAAAACTAGCCCCACCAAAAATTAGAGCCTATGTTTCACGGAAATTTGGTTCCAATTCATATCAACTGATCGATGCTAAACACCGAGTGCTTGACAATTATTCCGCCGATTTAATCACAACACGTTAACTCATTCAGTACATTCGCCTTGTCAAGAATTTCGATGAATATATGGCGGGCGCGCCTCCATATTCCATTGATTCTGCCATATTGAAATAATAATTACGTTTGTAAATGAAATGAATTACTGAATAAATTAATTAAGTTTAGTTTTGTTATATCCATAGTTTTGTTATATTAAATATATGCTCAGTACATTGCTAGTAAATCGATCAAAGCAAACAAGAAAAGATTCATAACCAAATCATTTACCCATGCCTTTCATCTACCGTAGCTTACGTAATGCGTACTGAAACTTAATAGGAAAGACGGAACATGTGTACATACATGAGCGCTCAAAGGCGAACTGAACGAGTCAGGATGGGGTTGGTGAACATCATGTAGAACGATTTCGATGTAAGGTCTAACGTCCATCAAACCACAGCCCGTGAATCGCATTCGAACCACCATTCTCATATCCATACTAAACGCTTCACATTTTTTGTTAACGGGTCGCTGAAGATGAGAGGGGGATAATGATCTAATATTTTTATTGGCCAAATAATAGACATAAGAATGATTATGAGAAATGTAAACATAACAAAACTGTCAAAGCTAAACTTCAAAATGGGGGGGACTTGCCAGAACAATGTACGTAACCAATAGTTATTCAAGACACGAACCATCATATCGGTATAGACACGAATTGACATGGCCACAATGAAAACGCCCACACTGACATACGATAACACGGACCGAACAACACGCATCAGCCATCGCAAGAATGAAGTAATCCTAACCAAGCAATTTATCAAAGCTGACGACATTGGTTTGGTTAAAGTGAATCCTCAGAGTGCGTATACCTGGGGAATATACTTATCGACATTGTTCCACCACATTCCTTCCGGCAAATCCCCAACCAAGTTGTTACCTGTGGAAATAAAGTGTATGTGGATATAAATTCTGGTCTATTCATTTGGCGGCAGTTAGACCACCGTACACCGGTAATCCCAAAATCATCAAACGTAAGTCAACCTCATTATTGTCACCATCCCATTGGAAACGAGCTACCCAACAACAGTTTATCGAGATTCCTGTTTGTACCGACAAGAAAAGGTCAAGCAAATCATTATCAATACTACATCATTATAGGCAACCACCCGACAGCCATTTCTTTACAGAGCGTTGCACCAAAATTCGAAATGCTTAGCGGATAAGTGGTAAGTTATGCAAATTATCAAAATTTATTAGCATTTCGTTGCATCAAAAATTTTTATTTATCACTTGTCTTTTTTCATTTTGCGAACTCTATCATTATGTTGCTAAACATAATTTTACTTATCATATCAGTGATAAGTTACATTTACTCGGTCTGAAAGCTTTAACACGTGATTCGATAAAATATTGACACAAGGAGTGCTCGCTATGCAACTGCCAGTAAAAATTAGCCAGTAACAAAATTCAGAGAATAAGGTATCTAACTCTCCAAAGAGAGAAACTTACTGAGTTTTTCGCAAACAGGAATTAGCAAACATTTGCAAGCTCCACTGCCAGCTGGCGTCCACGGTTGCATTTCGAGCATAGTAAATTTTTAAAATTATTTCAGGTGGAAACCAAAATAGGACCTATACGTATATTTCTTCTTATTTTGACTTTCTTCAACATACGCTTCAATTTCTTTCTGGAAGTCACTGTCGGATTTCCTATATGGACAGTGGTGACGAGTGCGTTCCGATTACGAATACAGCTTTTTCAGCCGAGTACCTTTCAAATATTTGGAATTAATTATACTAATTGAATAAACGAATATTTACATACTTATTTCATTAGTAAAACGCAACAAGATTGTTAATTTTTAAATTTAACGAACTCGTTGATTCAAATTAATGTTGACAAAATGCAACCCTGTGGTGTAGTGGTAAGCAGTGCGCGCTTTCACTCACCAGCACCTGGGTTCAAGCCCTGGTCAAAGCAACATCGCAAAAAATTTAGAAAAATGTTTTTCTTAACAGCGGTCGTCCCTCGGCAGGCAATGGCAAACCTCCGAGTGTATTTCTGCCATGAAAAACAGCTTCTCATAAAAATACAATCGCCGTTCGGAGTCGGCGTAAAACTGTAGGTCCCTCCGCTTTGTGTGACAATATCAAGGCGGCCGCCACAAGTTGGAGGAGAAGCTCGGCCAAACACTAACATATGTGTAAGCGCCAATCTATTATTATTATTATTGAAATGCAACCCTGTGCCACAATCCTGCTTGCAAATTCTTACTGGCAAAAATTTTCCCGGCACAAATATGCAACTTCCCCTCCAAATGAAATGTCAAAATTGTGCTCTCTTCTTGCAAATTTTACTGAGTTTTTGGCTAAACGAACACGATTTTGTAACAATTGGTACCAACTTGTACAAATTTTTTGCTTAGCGAACACTCCTACAAGAAATGCTTCGATTCGAAATATTAAATTTATTAGAGGAGGATAGGCTGCAAATAATAAAAGGCGTGTCATAAAAGAACAAATCAACTACAGTTTACATATTGGTGTAGTAGAAAAATTGCGGCTATCTCATATCTCGTAGCCAAATTGAAAAAATTTTATTAAAAATTGGCGCGAACCTATAATATAACAGTGAGCGTAATAACGGCATGGTCGAATGCATGGGGTTCACGAATTGGCGCTATGTAGTAATCCATCGAGTGGCAAATGCCGTGATAAACAAATTGATGGATTAAACTATTTGTAGGCCGAAATTTACGGAAAATATTGCCACACAATTTTCAACATTGGTGGAGTCGCAGGGTGCATTGATGGAACACTGATTACCTAAGGTTACTGAGTACCAATTTGTTAATCGGTACGGAAATCATTCAATTAATGCAATGTGGGTTATCTTACTGAATTATTTTGGAAAGATCCAAATAAATAACCCTAAAATGTAGAAAAATATAGTTATTCATATAAACATACATATGATAGTTAAGGCGGACTTATTATTTCTGTCTAAGCCGCCGCTTAAGCCGAGTTCAGCGGCCGTGCGCGCGCACTTTGGCGGCAGTGGAGTCGACGCGACTCCGAAAATAATTACCGAGCGCGCACGGCCGCCTCCCAATCGTCGTGCGAAAATCCGCACAAACCAGTTCAGCTATTAACGCCGGTCTACGCGCACGCGCCCCCCTTAATATTAGCATTTTAAACATCTTTTCAACTGTGTCATCTTTTTAACATCCGTGAAAATATAAACTTTAATTGTTAAAAACTTTGAATAAACCGAGCGGAAGTTTGTAAAATTAAAAATTGAAAACCAAAGTATTTCCTTAAAGCGGAAAGAAACTGTGTGTGTGCAAGGTGAGTGCGAAAGGCAACCATTGGAAATAGTCATGGTCCTTCGCAGCCAACCCTGGCCTAGCTCCAAAAAAATAAAATAAATTAATAAAAACCACAAAAAAAAATCGGTACTCGTACGACCGTAAAAACACAACAAAAAACAACTTTAACAGTGGAAAAAAAGCTATAAACTAAAGTGCACGTATATACATACATATACGCAAAAAAAAACTGAGAAACTAAGTGCAAAAACAACAAACAAAAGTGTAAAAAGAGTGCACGTACATTTCGAAAACTCAAAAGTGAAAAATAAAATAAAATTTTGGAAAAAACAAATAAATAATTAAAATACTTATGTACATTTAAAAAACCAATCGAGTGAACAACATCATCATCAAACCAAACAAATTGGCCTACATACTTCAGCCAAGCAACCGCCACCAGCAGCCATCAACAACATCAGCAGCCATCAACCGCATAAGCGGCAGCAACAACACCAGACACAAGAAGCCCCCAGGCAAAAAGGAGCAAAATCAGATACACATATACATAAATCAAGGAAAGTAGTAAGTAGGCAAATTTTTAATTTCCTTAAAAATTTAAATAATATAACTTTCATATTCTTGAAAGTTATATTATTTCTAATAAACTGCCAACGGGCATACATACGTATATACATATATATATATATATATATAATTAAATAAAAGGCGTATTTATTCTCGCCAAAAACGGTTTCACTAAAATTGCAGATATTTTCTTGCCGCCCAAAAATCTCACATCGGCAATTTGCCGCTATTGAATTTTGGTAGAAACATTCCGTTTTCCGGAAAGCGGTATATCTCCACTTACCGCCAATCTTATATATATATATAAGTATATGTACATATATACAAATTCTGATATATACCCCAAAATAAATTCCGTTGCAGTTTATATGCCTACTGTGTCCCACTGTGCAAGAACAAAATATTAGCACATTAAAATCACATACTTTCCTCTGCTTACCAATTTTTGCCGTTGGTCGCATAGTTCGTTGAACTTGGCTAAACAAATTGCCGAAAAACATAAGTGCACTATTTCCCATATATCATATGTACATACGTTAGCACATATAAACATTTTTACCAGTTGCATTTTCTGCAACTATTCGTATAATAGCTAAGAGAGTCGCTGCTATTTATCGAACAATACAGTCCACACGTACCAAGCGCACTCTAGCTTATTTTAATTTATTTCAATCTTGCTTTTCTCTGCTGCACTCACCAAGCTAAGAGAACGTAAATCAAAGCCCGCTCTCTCAGCGGTGAGCGGCTCTTTACGTATTATTATATCCACTTGTGCATTCCCGCACACATACATACATACGCACTATAATCAAAACAAATTCTCTGTTGTTTTCGTTTCTTAACTCACCACTGCTGTGACAAAGCATAGCTTAGCCATATACTCGGCTTCATACGTAAATATTTGTACATACATACGTACGTACATTTTTACATTCTACATATTCTGCACTTTTGTACATACGTGCTAACAAAGAATATTGTCACACGAATATTATCCATAACGCGATAAGAAGTGAGTTCAAGATATCAGATACATGCAACCCAGTAGGGAAAGCTCCCGAATTGCATTGGTCTAGATAGTGATAAATAACCATTACTTTTTCAGTATTTACATAATTAGTTATATCACATTAAATATTTATACATACGTATATTTCACCACGTATATAAAAGTGAAAAGTGTTTGTGATTTTTTTTTCTCGTACTGAAATTTTTCAAATCCAAATTCCGCGGATTTAATTGGGACGCTCCGTTTTCCACGTAATAAAAAGTGCTGAACCAAAAATTAAAGCAAATATAATTTCACGTAATTTGCAAGAAACAAAAAACACAAACACCGCCACAAAATCTTAAAATTCTTTTCCTGATTTTCTGTGGCACAAAGTGCAATTTTTACTCGTTTGACATATATTTTTCTAATTTTTGCGAACGTTATCTGGGTGGTACTCAGTAAAATTTGATAAATTTTTCTCTCAATTTTTATACGTGTGACCTTCCACAGCATTAAAAACGCCACTTGGACACAGTCCACCAAAAATGTCTGAAATCGAGACAAGGTCAAAAACTGCTTCGCAAGAAGCCACCGGTGGTAAGAGGGAACCCTCACCGCGCCCGAAACCTAAAACTTTTGACCCATCCGCTCAAAAGTTTATAGCGGAAAGTGACAGTATCATGAGATACTGTGCAAGATTCAGTGATGCACCGATCCAAGACCACACTGAATCATATCTTATGATAAAAGACAAATCACTAGATGATTGTTGGGCACGGCTTCAGTCTGCCTATGATTTGGTTTTTTCAAAGCCAGATGACAGCCTACCCGAAAACTTTAAGAGTTCGGTAGAAGGCAAGTACTTCACTTGCCTTGAATTATATGAGGTGACCAAAGCTAAAATTGCCGATCAACTGTCGTTGATTAAAGCAATCGCCGCACCGAGTCCACCACCCCGCGTGGAACACACCTCGGCAGAGGCAAACGTTTTTCTTCAAGTCCCACCTTGTGACACGGAGACATTTTACGGTGGTTACGAAGAATGGCCCGCCTTTCGTGACATGTTCACAGCGGTGTACATCAACCACCCGAAGCTCTCCCGTGCTCAAAAACTGTATCACCTCCGGTACAAAACTCAAGGAAAAGCCGGTTCCATCGTCAAGCAATACCCGCTCAGCGATGATAACTTCGAGCTGGCCTGGGAAGCTTTACGGTCACGATACGAAAACAAACGTATCTTGGTTGACAACCAAATTAAAATTTTGATGACTTTGCCGACTATTCAATCCGAGAATAGCGAGCAACTTCAAAGGCTGCAAACATCAATTAACAACTTCTGTCAGTTCTTAATTCCCAAGACGTCCAGACAGACAGTTGGGATCCCATATTGGTGTACATTTGCTCATCCAAATTGCCCGAAACCACACTGTCACTTTGGGAACAATCTCTCTCTTCTCGAAGAGATTTACCCTCATGGTCACAAATGGACGATTTTCTTACTTCAAGATACGAAGTAGTCGAAAGACTTAACCGGCTTCATCCAAGCCAAAATAAACAAAAACCAGTCGCTCATCAAAATGCTGCGCAAAACAGGTCCTTTAACAGGACTCAAACCTTTGTGGCAGAACCTAAGAGGGAACCAACTTGCTCTTACTGCAAGTCCCCTCATCCCATTAGAGTCTGCCCACAATTTAAGCGAATTTCGGTCCCGAACCGAGTACAATTCGCAAACCAAACCAAGCTGTGCAAAAACTGCCTTGGTAATTCCCATAGCACTAATGAGTGTCCGAGCAAGTGGTCATGTACACATTGCCAACAACGGCATCACTCCCTGCTGCACATGAATCCCAAACCACAATCTCGACACTACAGTGCGCGAGCGAATGAAACCGCCGCACAACACACTACTGCCCAGTCGACACCTCCCGCTCGACAAGCGCAGTCAAGCTCCGATTCCAGCGAGCAACCGTGCTGTTCCAAACAAGCACAAATACAATCATTGCACACCGACAATGATAGCAAAATTCTCCTTCCAACTGCCATAGTCGCAGTTAAACACGAGGGTGAATTGTTTCAACTTAGAGCCCTGATTGATCAAGGCTCACAAAGAACTTTCATTTCCTCGAAAGTTCAAAAACGGTTGAAACTACCATTCGAACATTCCAAGTTCGAAATTTCCGGCATGGGTGGACATGTAGTACAAAGCTCCTCAAAGCTTTGTCCACTCACATTGGTAGCACCAAAAACCATGCAACGGATAAACACACAGGCTATCGTGTTACCTCAGCTCACGAGGCACATGCCTACATTCACCATTAGCCGTGAAAACTGGCAGCAATTCAAGATCCTTGAACTTGCTGACCCAAGCTGTCACATACCAGCTCAAACTGACATGGTAATCGGCAGCGATATACTTCCACAAATCCTGCTGGAAGGTATACAAAATATTTGCGGCACAATACTTGCGCAAAAAACAATATTTGGCTGGATTCTCAGTGGTCCAATAACCGAAAATGTGGTGTCATTCTCGACACAAGTAGAAGAGTGCTCGAATGCAACTCTCAGCTCTCAGCTTCGAAAGTTTTGGGAAGAGGAGGAGATTCCACAACCTCCACAAATTTCCCCGGAAGATCAGGCTTGTGAGCATATATATGCAACAACAACGACTCGTGCCCCAAACGGTCGATACATTGTGCGACTTCCATTCAAGGAAGAATTTCCAAAAAAGCTGTCTCTGGGCCACTCTCGGTCTGCTGCACTTCATAGCATGGAGCGATCGCTTCAGAAAAAAGGAGACTTAGGCACAATGTATAACAATGTGTTGCAAGAATATCTCGACCTCGGTCATATGGAGCACACGAAGCCATGTGAGATAGTAGCTAATGGCAAATACTTCTCATTCTACTTGCCACACCATGCGGTCGTCAAACCAGATAAGGTAACCACCAAAGTTCGCGTGGTATTCAACGCCTCAAAAACATCTGGTTCAGGAAAATCCCTGAATGACGTGTTGCACACTGGTCCCACACTCCAGCCAGATCTCATCCTGCTCATTCTGCAGTGGCGAATGCACAGATTCGTGTTCAATGGCGACATTGAAAAAATGTAGCGTCAAATACTCATCCATGAGGACGATAAAGATTTTCAGCGAATCTTATTTCGCACATCGGCTGACTCTCCTGTCACCGATTATAATCTTAAAACCGTAACGTTCGGGGTTAATTGTGCACCATACCTCGCTATCCGTACCCTGCATCAATTAGCAGATGATACGATAGCGACATTTCCCTTGGCTGCCACAATACTTAAAACCGAAACGTATGTGGATGACATCCTATCCGGAAGTCATGATATTGACAACGCCACTGAATCACTTCTTCAAGTGATCAAAGCGCTTAAGTCAGCTGGTTTCATACTCAAGAAACTAACGGCCAATCATCCGGCCATCTTAGAAAAATTTCCAAAGGAGGATCTTCTCGACTCCAACTTTTTGAAATTTGAGAGCGCTTCCACAACCAAAACTCTTGGTATACAATGGAACGCACTCACCTATAAGTTTTCCTACACCATTCTGCCTGCATCGACATCGAATGCCGTCACAAAGCGACAAATCTTATCCTCTGTCGCAAAACTTTTTGACCCGGCAGGAGGGCTATCGCCAGTGATGATTCAAGCAAAGATTCTTCTTCAAGAACTTTGGCTAGATGGCGTTGATTGGGACGAATGTGCCAAACCTATATCTTTAGCAAAATGGCAACAGTTCGCAGAAAATCTGCCAGCTATCTGCCACTTCGAAATCCCTCGATGGGTTAATTTCACTCCGGGGCAAGATACCCAAACCCACGGGTTTTGCGATGCCTCGGAAAAAGCATATTGCGCTGCGATTCACATCCGCGCAGATGCTAGCAACCAAAGATATTCCACTCTCTTGGTTGCAAAAAGCAAAGTCGCACCATTGAAGACGGTAAGCTTGCCACGCCTGGAGCTGTGTGGTGCAGTCTTACTCGCAAAACTGGTCGCAACTGTTCGAAAACAGCTCAAATTGGAATCGTGCAACATATTCTTATGGTCAGATTCAGAGATTGTGCTAGCTTGGCTTGAAAAGCCACCATGTACATGGAAGACGTATGTATCCAATCGTACCTCTCAAATCCGGGAATATCTTCCAACCGGTGCATGACGCCATGTTTCCAGCCAAGATAATCCAGCCGACCTCGGCACCCGTGGGTGCAAACCGCAGGATTTGGCGAATTCCCCACTCTGGTGGCACGGACCAACATGGCTCTCTTGCCACATGGATGCATGGCCAAGGTCAAAGGCATGCAGTGCATCTCCACCAGAAAAGCGCAAGGTGGAGGCATATCACGCGCTCGAAGAAGAGGTCGATTTTCTTGATCGCTTTTCTTCTTTCTCTCGAGCACTCCGCGTGACTGCGTACATGTTCCGCTTCGTGAGCAATGCCCGCAACAAATCAAAGGGGGTAGCCACAATCACCTATCCACATCTGACACATAACGCATTTCAATATGCAAAAATTCATCTTATCAACGCAGCGCAATCACGCCATTTTCCGAGCGAAAAAAGCGCTTTGCAAGATAAAAAGCCACTTAACAAAAAAAGTCCTCTTATTGTTCTCAATCCTTCGTTGGACAAAGACGGACTTTTACGGGTTAATGGCCGATTGGCACATTCCACATTAAGCTATAATGAAAGGCACCCAATAATTCTCCCTACCGAATCGAGGTTCTGCCAGCTATATTTGGAGTTTTTACACTCGCTGCTTCTTCACGCAGAAACACGATTAATGCTCCAAATGGTAAGGCAAGAGTACTACGTACCAAAGCTGAAACCTCTAATTAAAAAATGCATCTTTCAATGCAAAGTGTGCACGCTTTACAAGCAACAAACACGCACCCAAATAATGGCCGCTCTACCCCCTGAGCGCTGCAGTTTCTCACTCCCATTTTCCACAACGGGAGTAGATTTTGCTGGGCCATTCCAAATTAAAGCATCGGTGCTAAGATCTACAACCCTTATCAAGGGATACGTTGCAGTTTTTGTCTGTTTTTCCACAAAGGCAGTGCATCTCGAGCTATGCTCGGATCTTACAACCGAAGCTTTTCGAGCAGCATTCGCCCGCTTCGTTGGCAGACGAGGTTTTCCCTCAAAAGTGATGAGCGACAATGGAAAAACGTTCATTGGCGCCCAGCGCGCAACAGAACGCGACTTCGTTAAATTCCTTAACGAATGTTCCACAGACATTGTCAAAAAATATGCCCCTCAAGGCATCAACTGGCAATATATACCACCCAGCGCCCCCCACATGGGCGGCTTGTGGGAATCTGCAGTGAAAAGCTTTAAAATCCATTTAAAGAAAACCGCTGCAACCCACAAGTTCACTTTCGAAGAATTCACGACGCTTCTGGTGCGAATTGAAGCAGTCCTCAACTCGAGGCCTCTATCCGCACTTTCTCAAGACCCAGCTGATATGACAGCACTTACTCCGGGTCACTTCCTTCGAGGTGCACCGTTATTGGCCATTCCCGAGCCTAATGCGGAAGACCTCTCTCTACTAAACCGATGGGAGAAAGTCAAAGCACTTCACCACCAATTTAGTCGCCGCTGGAAAGAAGATTACCTCAAAGATCTTCAGAAGAGGTACAAGTGGAAAACTCCACAGCGCGACCCTCAGCCAGGCGACATCGTCGTGATCAAAGAAGATTCACTCCCCCCCACCGAGTGGCGATTGGGACGAATCGAAAACGTTCGCCATGGCCCTGATAACCACATACGTGTTGTGGAAGTCCGTACACAAAATGGAGTTATCACGCGGCCACTTGTCAAACTGTGCTTCCTTCCAAAAGCACAATAAATAATTCTATACATCCTTTCCTTTTGTATATTAAGGGTCTTAACTTCCCGTTTAAATATTGTACCCAAGTACTTCTCGTTTCTCTGCCTTTGCTTCTACTTCCAGATCGAAGACATCATGGCAGCACGGAAGGCATGCCCCCTGGCTCCAACGGCAGAGACAGACAACTGCCTACAATGCCGGCTCTGCCACCGGTACCACGCATTGCGGACGTGCCCGGCCATCAAGGCGATGAAGCCGCCGCAACGGTTGGGAGTAGCCCGCGCGCAAGGCTACTGCGTCAACTGCCTTGCGCTCACCCACACCACCGGGGAATGCGATTCGCCGGGTAGTTGCAAGACCTGCGGGCTAGCGCACCACACGCTGCTGCATGTGGCAGCCAACACGCATGCGCGCACGGGGCCAAGGGAACAGGGGCCCAAGAAGAGGAAACCGGCCACAAAGGCCCCAAGGAGCGTCAAGCGGCGCGCACCGCCGAAGAAAAAGGCGCTGAAGAAGGCGCAGAAGAACCCGCGCAACCATGCGCCGCAACCGCCGCGCAAGAAGACCGCCCAACGGACGATCGCGCGCACGCCCCAAGGCCTACAAACGGCCAATTTCCAGGGCCGCACCACCCACCGCGTCCTGGGCAACACTATACGCGCCCTGAAAGAGCTGCAGGAGACGCTCAGCAACGCATTCCTGCAGGGCGGGGACGATGTCTAAGCCGCCGCTTAAGCCGAGTTCAGCGGCCGTGCGCGCGCACTTTGGCGGCAGTGGAGTCGACGCGACTCCGAAAATAATTACCGAGCGCGCACGGCCGCCTCCCAATCGTCGTGCGAAAATCCGCACAAACCAGTTCAGCTATTAACGCCGGTCTACGCGCACGCGCCCCCTTAATATTAGCATTTTAAACATCTTTTCAACTGTGTCATCTTTTTAACATCCGTGAAAATATAAACTTTAATTGTTAAAAACTTTGAATAAACCGAGCGGAAGTTTGTAAAATTAAAAATTGAAAACCAAAGTATTTCCTTAAAGCGGAAAGAAACTGTGTGTGTGCAAGGTGAGTGCGAAAGGCAACCATTGGAAATAGTCAATTTCCTTAATAATTTTTAAGACAGAAAATTTATTGGCCGTGCTTTGTGCGCGCGACATACTAAGAAAAAAGAGAAGTTGAAAACGTTTATCAAATCGCACATGGGCTTGCTAAGCCTTCGTTTTCCATTAAGAAACGGTAATCATTTTAGCAAAGTACATTATTGGAAAAGTTCTCTATTTGAAAAGCAAAAGAAATGGGCTGTGCAATGGTTATCAAATCGACTTATCCAAAAAAAATTGTCAGTTAGTAATTTGTTTATAAGTTGATACGTTTTTTATTTTTATTTTTTATAAGTAAAACTTGCAACACTTGTCAACTTTACTTTAAAAAAAAGGCTTATCCAAAAGTTGTAAAGTGAAAAGTGATAAGCCGTTGGTACAATTGGGCCCTGGTTGACACTAATCATCGGTTAACATCGTTATCGACGTTTTCGACTCCATGCATATAACACGGTGTCGATAACGATGTTTAACCGGGGACTAGTGTCAACCAGGCTTTGAGCAAACGGCCCTTAACCGGCCTCTGGTAAAAATAATATTTCTGTAGTGCAATTTGTTGTTGTACAACAATCAACAACCACATTATATTAAAAAATATCGCGCACAATTGTAATTTTTTATTCATTTCCAAAACACGTTTACAATTTTGCGTGTACAAATGCAAATGGTGCTGCTCTCACTTTGCCATCCACGTCTGCTCAATCTGCTGCTGCTCTCGTCTCAAATGGTGATGCCGCTGACGCTCAAATTATTTCTGGTTCTGCTTTGAATAATCAACCTTCTCAATCTGCTGATGCTGACGGCGCTTATGCTCCCCCACCCGAACTCTCTAAGTGGACTACAGTGGAAAATAAAAATTAAAAAAATTTTAAGCCCAGGAAATTTGTTGTTGGGCGTAATGTGTCAACTGAGCTTGATGTAGTTGTTAAGAAGAAGTGGCTGCACATCTCGACATTTAAATCTACTGTTAGGGCCGGTTGCTCAAAGCCTGGTTGACACTAATCATCGGTTAACATCGTTATCGACGTTTTCGACTCCATGCATATAACACAGTGTCGGTAACGTCGATAACGATGTCTAACCGGGGATTAGTGTCAACCAAGCTTTGAGCAACCGGCCCTTAAAGTCGAAAATGTTATTGATTTTGTAGTGAAGCATTTTGGCATTGCAAGCGATTATCTTTCGTGCTTTGCACTTGTTAAAAAAGGCGTATCTCTTAATGACTTGGAAAGCATAAATTTTAAATTGGGTGTGTCACCTGCATACTACAGTACACTATTAGATGCAAATGTATGGCCAGTAGGAATTAAAGTCCGACTATTTCGTTTTTTACAAAAGGAATAGTGATTGCGCAATTAATTCCATCAATTTTAGTGAATGTAATTCTACTAGTAATACTAATAAGCTAAAGATATATTATCAAAATATCTCAGGCATGCGAACTAAAACTAAAGATGTGTATCTAGCCACATCACGATCTGAATTCGATATTTACGTACTTTTTGAAACTTGGCTTAACCATAATTCTTTAACCCAAATTTGTTTGAAACATATCGCAAAGATGGGGACTCAATAAAAACAGGTTTGTGCAGATGTGGTGGGTTCTTAATCGCGGTTAAACGCACCCTACGCTCCTCGGCTATCCAGCTTATGAATAATGATTCTTTGCTTGACCAACTATGCATGTGTATCTTCGGTAATTTTGGCAACATATTCGTTTTCGCTTCTTATATTCCGCCAAGCAGTGCTGAATCTTTGTATGACGCTCATGTAACTAATATTATAAGTATTTGTGATAATAATGAAGATAGCCATTTTTGCATTCTCGTTGATTTTAACCTCAGCAAAATAGTTTGGTCTAATTTACTTAGAACTAATATTCTACCGCCAACCAACATAAGTAATTCTTACGAAATTAACTTTTTGAACAGCCTGTTTAGTTTCAACCTTATCCAAATAAATTCCTTTTTTAATAAGTTAAATAATATCTTAGATCTAAATTTTGTCGATGAGAACTTAATTTTTTACATAAATGAATGTAACTTCCCAATATGTAAATCTGATATGCATCACGTCCTCATTTTTTATCCCTCGAATTTTTTGGTTTTTCTCCAGTGTCCACCAATGATTCGTGGTCTTTCGACTTCAGAGGTGCGCATTTTGATTACTTAAACTTCAGAATTCTAGAAATTGACTGGAAATCTTTCTTTAGTACAAAAAGTGTATCCGAATGCTTTGACTCTTTTCTGTTCAACATCTTTAAAATCTTTCGTAGTAGTCTCAATCCTCGGTCTGCTCGAATTCATAAACTTCCCTGGTACACCAAGAACTTAAAGAAGCTGAAGAATCAAAGAAATAAGTATTTTAATCTATACCAAACTACCAACAATGATCTTTTCAAGGAAAAATATCTTCAGTATTCGACTCAATTTAATGAGCTTGATAAAGTCTTATATAATCTATAAATTTCTAGGTATGAAGATGAACTAAAAATAAACCCCAAAGCCTTTCGGAGGTACATTCGGTCAGAGAAAGGTTGTACGAATATCCCTACTTGCGTGAGATTCAATGGACAATATTCTGAGAGTCTGGCGGATTCTGTAAACCTTTTCGCAGATTTCTTTAAATCAAATGTTACAAATGTTCCACATTCGAGTCGTTTTGGCTCTTCCCAAGCTGTAGATATTGGTTCACTGTCTGTATGTAAGTTAGATGTTATCAATAGTATCTCTTCTTTACAGTCGTCGAAGAAAAGTGATCTCGATGGGCTATCTTCTAATAAAGAAATGCAGCGCATCTCTTTAACCTTTCCCTTTCGACCGGTGATTTTATTGACCGTTGGAAGGTGGCATCTATTTCTCCGATTTTCCATTCGGGTAATAAGAATGATGTTAGAAACTTCAGGCCCATATCTAAACTCACCACATGTTCAAAGCTTTTTCAAAAAGTTGTGAAAGAAAACTATTCTTCACTGTTAAAGAAATTATCGACCCGAATCAGCATGGTTTTGTCTGTGGGCGTTCCACAACCACCAATATGGCGGAATTTTCCCAATTCTGTATCTCATCCTTCAAAAACGGTTCTCAAGTAGGTGTTATCTACACTGATTTTTCTAAGGCGTTCGATACTGTCTCCCATAACATGTTATTGGGGAAACTTGAAAAAATTAGTTTCCATTCAACTTTTATTTCTTGGTTAAGGTCATATCTCTCAAACAAAATCACTTATGTAGAAATTGATAATATTAAATCACATCCTTTCGTAGCCACCTCCGGTGTCCCTCTTATATCTTAGGACCGCTATTGTTTGTTCTCTTTATAAATGATATTGGGAGCTGCTTTAACCATTCGAAGTTTCTACTCTATGCAGACGATTTGAAAATTTTCAGAAGTGTTACCTGCTTGTCGGATATTTCACTTTTGCAAAGTGATTTAAATAATCTAACTAACTGGAGTCTCTCAAATAAATTATCGCTTAATATTAATAAATGTTTTCACATGAATTTTGCTAAAATTCTAAATCATATTATCTCAACTTATACCATTTCTAACGTTCTCCTATCTGTTGTAAATTAATTTGTGGATCTTGGCGTAGTATTCGACTCAGGATTTTCCTTTGTCAACCACATAAGTTTTATTATTCCTAAAGCCTATTCTCCCTTATCTTTTCGGCGTCGCTATGCGAGAGACTTTAGAGATCCTTACACAGGGAAATCCATTTATAATTCTCTAGTTAGATCAAAATTGGAGTATGCGTCTATAATCTGGAACCCAATTTATTCCACTCACTCCCAAAGAATTGAAAGAGTCCAACTTAGTTTTGTCCGCTTTGCTCTGCAACCTCTTGGTTTTAGTGAGCCTCTTCCGTCTTATGGGGCCCGATGTGTGTTAATAAATATGAAATCTCTTGCTTCTCGACGCATTATACATTCGCTAATGTTCATTTACGACATAATCTGTGGCGTCATTAATTGTCCTGATCTCCTTAAGCAGATATGTTTTAACGTTCCCCATCGAGCACTCCGCTTTCGTTATCCGCTTCATGTAAAAACTGCCAAATCTAATTACTTAAATTTCGGCCCTATTGTAAGGGCCCTTTCTGAGCTTAATAGTATATTTGAGTAGTCCACTTGCTAACAGCGTTATGTGATTTTATAATAGAAAGCCATAAATTTGAAAAAAACGACTACGACAACAAGTAACATTTAAATTGAATCTTTTTTATTATTACCTGAAAATTTACATAAATAAGAGCCTTTTAAAATTGTAACATAACATAACATGACATAAGATAACATTAACATTCTATACGACCTAAAGCAGTTTTCTAAGTTCATCAGAAGATGGATACTTTTGAAAGTTTATAAATAAGTATGATAGCGACTTTTGGAAGAAGATTTAACATTTGATGCTATTTTTTCAGAATATAAAAAGATTTTGCCCTCTGTTGTTAGTGGACATGAAATTACTTTAAATACTGGTACGTAATCCACCAAAAACTAGAAATCGAAAAAATTTTACATAGCGCACTTTGCAAGTGGACTACTCATTTAGTAGCCTCGATTTAGATTTCGCTCTTCCTAGATCCTTATTTTTATCTCAGCTTGAATCCAATTATCTCTAATTATGTAGTTTAGTTTGTAAGCTTTATCTTTAAGCTGATGTTGTACCTCTAGTCTGTAAGGTTTGTAACCATAGACTTGATAAAGAAATGAAATGAAATGAAATGCTGAAAATCAAAACAAGCAGAGAAAGTAATAGGTAGCACGCAGAGTAATCATTTCTATTAGCTCTGTTATGCATATTTTGCACTGCACTGCATAGCATTTCATTTTTACGTAGAACTCAAAAACCAACAGACGTCTACATATGTAATACTGTGCGTTGAGTAACCGCTAACACGCAAAGCGCAATTAACGGATTTCTTATGTGACAATTCTCATGCCATGCAAAGTATGTATAACTGGGGCATAAGTTTCTAGG